TAAAATAAGAATTGTTCTTGGATCCATATTGCTGTAAACAAGGCGAAGGTCATGATAACGACAACACTCACTTATTTCGTGTTTTCTTTTTCCAGAACCTTGTGATCCTAAGCAATCAAATAAAAACATCGTTGGGTTAGGTTGGGTAACATTAGGTAAAGGTCCTAGTCATTTTCAGTAATATGGAACCAAAAACAAATCTTATCTTTGGTTAATTGTCTTGTTTACTAACCTAAGGGGGTGTAAATAGTCGTCCCCACTGAGACTTGAACTAATTGTAATTGCATATATGTTTGTTAATCATAAACTATTGTTTTGCGACAATTGAAACTATCACCGATAAAGCTCTAAAAAATTGTACCATCATTAGTCGTATAGTGAGTAGGTTGAATATTAAAATCTTGTCCATTAATAAAGACCAAAATTTCACATAAAAATGAAAACGAAAACAAGTTTCGAAACGTAAGGTGTCGTACACAAGTTATATGGAATTTTGGGTTTTACTTGAGCTTTATTTGGTTCAGTTCCACAGTATTCCATTCGATTTTCAAGTAAACATCAATTTAAGTAAATATTTAATTATTGATAAAGATTATTAAACATTCATTTCTCATAATTTCTCGTGTTCTGGTTGCGTTATTAGGTGTAAGACGTACGAGAACCCACGTGCATTTTGAAATCGATAGTAGGAAAGCGTCGCGACGATCTACGACACGACGCCGCGACGCATTTTCGTTTGTCCGCAATTTAGTGTGTGGTGGTAAACGAATCAGAGCTACTTGCTGTGCGTTGTCTTTAAAAACACACACAAATNCTTGAATTATATATTCAAAAATGCCCTCACTGATAATAAACCAACTTTCTCATAACTTAAACTTTAAATTGTTAAAAACTATTGCCATCAATATGTTTTAACATGAACTATTACAAAAGTGTTTTATACATTTCTGATTAAAAAAATTGATTTCAGCTCTGTAATATTACATATATTCATTTAAAATGTAATGAAAATTTTATTTAATAAAAAGATGTTTTGTTTTCAGAATAATGACATTTTACTAAATATAAACAAGTATATGTTTATGCTCTTTTAAAATAAAAAGAAACTTTTTAAATTTTAGGCAAAAAGCTTTTTGGAATATTTTTCAAAACTCCATTATTTACTACAAAAATCTATTTAAGATGGGGCAAAACCACCATACTCGCGTGTCAATGTCACTCATAATTACTAAAAAATTTGTCAGTCTAATTGAAACATTATCACATTAATTAATTGTAGCTTTCTCCTGTAAAATTTGTTGGTAACATGCCTACAAAAAAAACTGCCTTTAAGTATCCTAAGTATTTAACAAGCACTGAAGTAAAATAATACCTTTAAAGTAGTGAACATAATCCCTAACTCTCCGTTTTCCAAATTCAATTCAATAAAATCTTCAATAAATTGAATTTCAGAGCCTAATTGTAAAATTCTCGCTCTCACTACTATATACATGAAAACAGGAAATAAGTCGTCCATATTCCATTTATAATCTTCCCCTAAATGACTTTGAACTACACTAGTGGCTTTTTGGAATGTTTCCCTAATGACTAGAACTTTTTCAAAAGGTGAAAATGTTGTTTTTATTGATTGCAAAGTCTCAATTGGTTCTAAAAATATACTGTCTCTAACCGAAGTAGACAAAAAGGGACCAGCGTCTTGCACGTCAAAAAATCGCCTACAAAAAAAATGGTAACAAAAATTTGAAATTATTGGTCTGAAAAATGAGTTTACTTATCAACAGACAAGAACACCATCAACGAATAATCAGGTTGCTTATTCCACTCTACTAGTCTTTTCCAGTATTGTAAATCTTCAGCATCATTGTGTAATGTGTACAAGATAAATAGCGACGAATGAACTTTAGGTAGAACAATAGGATGAAGAAGGGTTTGGTAGCTTGCAATTTCACTGTAAACCCAAATTATGACAACTAATTTAAATTCCATTAATTAATATTTAAAAAATGCTTTGTCATATAATTTTAAAAATATTTCTGAAAAGCTAAATTTATTGTTTTTGTTTTCAGTTATCAAATCGTACCTATCATCATTTCCTATCACTGTTTGTCCTTTGTAAGGTGGAAGAGCAGGGAACATAAACAGGACAATTTCATAAATACGTCTTAATATGGAATGTAATTCTAACACTGCATGTTTCAGCAATAAAGGGTGTGCCCTTAAACCGCCATAGGAAGTGTTATATGCAGCAGTTAAATCGTTTAGTAAAGAGTGTAAGGGGTGATGAAGATTTTCGAATGCCTGCAAATAATTGTTAACAACTTTTCACCATTTACTATCAACCCACTATTTTTTACCTTTGCTAAGTAGCTTTTAATTTCCATAAAACTGTTTTTGTCAATTTTATCCATTCCAAATTGTGGAATTGTGTCCAAATTATTAAGACTATTACATTTCCTTTGATCTTTTTCCCTTCTTAAAGTGTTTCTATATGAATTGGACAATCTAATTGCTACATTTTGCCATATCTTTTGAGTATCTACTGATTTGACGCTAATATCGGTCATTCCCAAAGTTTGATAACAATGTCGAAATAATGCTATCCACTTGTCTTCTGGGGGTACACAAATTTTTCCGAAACTCTTAGGTTCCACACCTGCGTCGTTATGTGATGCTTTAAGTATGCTTAACGTTCCGTTACTTATTTTTAAACCGTCTACTAATGATCCTGACAGTTGACCTACGATGGTGTGACCTGAATTTAAAGTCAGCCTCCCTTTACCGTTAAACTGGCCGATGCCTTTAAAATCGCCTTCATAATGTGTACCATCTTCGAGTATCATGAGGCCATTTCCCTTTAGAAATATTTAATTGTTAACATTCAATAATTACTTAAAAATGCAGTCCTTCTTTTAATGTTTAGTCCTTTTTAAGTACAAATATGGTGTTACAGGAAAATGATAAAAATATCGCTTAAAGAAAAGGTTACAAAACAGCAGGAAAATACAGGATGTCAACAAAAAAAAGGAGAGGTACGATAGTAGGTCAGCTTGATATGAAGGGCTTAGTGAAGGCATACCAGAAGCAGGGACAGAAACAATGAGAGGACCGAGGAGCACCTGGATTAAATTATTGTTCATAAATAGCTGTTAGGGATGTAAGATTCTAACTTTTAGAAAATGCGAAGATTAGCTCAAGATAAGAAGTGAAGGTCCTTATCCTACTAGTCCTAGTCTAGACCCTATGATAATAACGATTCAAATAAATTTGAGTATTTACCGTGAAAATCCCCTGATTAAATATGCCCTCGTAATAAACGCCATCAGAAGTCACAATAATTCCGTTTCCATGTTTTTTATTATCAGACCATTTTCCAAGATATTTTTCGCCAGTTACAATATTATCGCATATTCCGTAACCGTTTCTGACCCCTTGGATCCATTCTCCTATGTATATAGAAGCTGTAGCAGACATAAAATGTCCCTGTTGAAGACTACCATGGCCGTGTGGCAAACCGTCTTTAAAGTATCCCTTGTAAACATCCCCATTTGTATATTTAAAAATACCGTAGCCATTTTGTCTATTTTCTTTCCAAGAACCTTCATAAACACCTTAAAGATGAAATGTACACTGAATTAATGGCAGTAAAAGAAAAGGTGCTTAGCGTTACCTTTTGAAAAAATTACGTTAGGTGTAAAATAATTAATAAGGTGAGTTAATTTTGAGTTCATGTTATTTAGAAAAACGTTACATAATGAGTTAAAGCAATTAAAAGTAGTAATATGGTGATTAAAAGATATCACTACGTTCTCTGATCAAATTTCATCCTGGATACATAAACAATTAGTACTATTGCATTACAAAAGAAAACGTTGATTTGAGTGCACTGTAAAAGCAATAAATACCACTGACTCTTTTAATTATTAAAAGTTTTAGATAAGGAAATTAAAATTTAAATATTACTTAAACAAGCACCTGTATTTGGTATTTCCATTTTTCCAATACCAGTAATGGTGTTATTGCTAAACTGACCGCAATATTTTCTACCATCAGTCCATTCTACATTGCCTTTCCCATGCATTTTGGCATCGGACCACCGCCCCGAATATTTAGCATTTTTGAAAAACCCCTGTTTCGTAAAAGTAAAATCCGCATTTCTAACATTAGGAACGTTAATACTGTTTACTTTCTTTAAAGCAACTTTTATAGCATTTTGCAAACTTTGTAACCATTTCGACTTCTCTTCCAGTTCATAAGCAACTAAAACGAAGTGATCTTCGGGAGTTTTTAAGATTATTTTGTGCTCCATTTCGTTTTCATCCTGAACTGCTTCCACCCACAGAATTTTCAAGTCAAAGGAAAGTACAATAGAGCCATTAATGTAAACAAAAATATCCGATAAAAGGACAAACCAATGTGAAGAAAATCTGCTACCACCTTGGAGCGATATTGGATTCTTNAAAAACATCGTTGGGTTAGGTTGGGTAACATTAGGTAAAGGTCCTAGTCATTTTCAGTAATATGGAACCAAAAACAAATCTTATCTTTGGTTAATTGTCTTGTTTACTAACCTAAGGGGGTGTAAATAGTCGTCCCCACTGAGACTTGAACTAATTGTAATTGCATATATGTTTGTTAATCATAAACTATTGTTTTGCGACAATTGAAACTATCACCGATAAAGCTCTAAAAAATTGTACCATCATTAGTCGTATAGTGAGTAGGTTGAATATTAAAATCTTGTCCATTAATAAAGACCAAAATTTCACATAAAAATGAAAACGAAAACAAGTTTCGAAACGTAAGGTGTCGTACACAAGTTATATGGAATTTTGGGTTTTACTTGAGCTTTATTTGGTTCAGTTCCACAGTATTCCATTCGATTTTCAAGTAAACATCAATTTAAGTAAATATTTAATTATTGATAAAGATTATTAAACATTCATTTCTCATAATTTCTCGTGTTCTGGTTGCGTTATTAGGTGTAAGACGTTACGAGAACCCACGTGCATTTTGAAATCGATAGTAGGAAAGCGTCGCGACGATCTACGACACGACGCCGCGACGCATTTTCGTTTGTCCGCAATTTAGTGTGTGGTGGTAAACGAATCAGAGCTACTTGCTGTGCGTTGTCTTTAAAAACACACACAAATTTATCTCAAAGCGGGAGCTGTTACAGCTGCTGCACATTCATCTGTTTATCTCATTTTCTGAGCATCACTCGTGCGCTGTCTATGTGGTAGTAGTTGTGAACAAGTGTGCGTTTTTTTTTTTTCGGGGGGATGTACCATAGATTGGGTGCACAATATAGTCGCGTTTGTTTATTACAATAATAATTAATTAATAACAACTTAATAATAGTGACGTCAATACGAAATAAACGATTGTAATTTGTTGTAGGTACCTAGTAATAAATACGTATTTTTTTGCGTGATTTTTTAATATGAACAATTTAGACGTGTTGTGCCGGAAAAGGTGATAGTAACATTTATGAATTGACATTTACTAAAATGCTAGATCCTGTGGGATAGCATGTAATCAGGACGTATTAGTATTTTTAATTTTGTAAATATTGTGACATTTTTTTTGTAAATAAGTACCTACGCCTATTTACGTGAAATAGAGATGCCGTTTTTTAAGTTCCCTGGACCGCAAAGTCCTCCCAGGAGGCTATTGATACAACCTTCTCCTACTAGTCCTTTTTGGTAAGTTGAAACGCAAAATCTACTGATATCATGCGATGAAAGTGATTGAAATGGTTAATTTATTTTTATCGGTTTCTACTTCAACAAATTCTTATTTTGTTATGTTTTTTTGTTAATAATGCAATATATGTGATTTCCAAATTGATAAAATTGACCAAAAGCATCAGATTTTGTTGGATGATAAATAATTATTAAAAAAAATACAAGTACTCTATCGCTTTATATTTGATATTTAGTTTTTTATTTAGAATTTTCCGTTTAATAAATTATACGTTTAGCATTTCTTATTACTGAAGACTGTGACTATAATGAAACTAGTTTTGTAAGAATTATAAGAAGAACGCTTTTTAAGTAAAAGAAATGTTTAGTCTTTTCCATTAAAAGAAATCTTAATATTTAAATTTAATTAATAAATGATATACAGATGCAGTATTTTTATGTTGGCTGCTCTTAGTCAGTTAATAAACATACACCTTGGCAACGACCAATCAAAACAAGCTACCAGGTATAACAAACTAGTTTAAATGTCAGGTGTAACCGTCTCTTTTACTTGTCCAATTTTACTGTTTTCATTTAATAATTTCGAAAAGTGTTAACGTACAAGTGCTATTACNTATGAATGTGAAACGGGATTAACAGGTTTTTCTATACTTGCATTTGGTTATTATTGATTACAATAATTACTTTATATTATTATCATCCAAATAATTGCTAACGGTTAATGTAAACAGGATGATGGTATTGTGGAGTGAAATCAGTTGGTCTCTTATTAAAGTTTAATGTTCCTTTTGTTTGTCAACTACTCTCTTATCGTCGTATTGAATATTTCTTCATAATTTGTTTGTTTTTGAATTTAGGCTTTACCGATATTTTTATTAATTTAGAATTTACAAAAATCCGTTTTGATTGAAAACATTTTCACTCGATATTTTACACGCATTAAGTACTTGGATACCAAAAAACGACATAGTATTTTTTCCTTAATAAATTACGCTTGTGTTTAGCTTACTTACGCTTTTGTAATGCCATCCATCACGTTTTATTAGAGCGAAATTAGTCATAATAAATTGGTTTAATTCTCTCGTCTGGTGCCATAGTACCAAACGTGTACTTTTAAGGTAATAAAACTAACACGGAAGATTATATTGCGTTTTTATTCCATTTTTGCTTTTATTACGTCAAAATGAATGCAAAAAAGCGATTCTAAAAAATGAATAATACCTTTTTGTGGATTTTTAATACCAAAGAAGGAGTTCTAATGTAAAATCCCGTTTTTTTTTCCGGGAATCTTTAGTACATCACCGCAAAAACATTTTTTTATTTACGCGGCTTTACAAAAGGAAATACTAATCTATGTAATTTAATTTTTTGATGTGTCATACAATTTGGATGTCTGTCAATTTATAATACGTATGTGGTAATTTTACTTCCTGTAGATTACGCACTAAGGGAAGAATCGTACACACAAGCTGAAGGCGACTAAAATTTTTTTTTATTCCTTAGTTTTTTTACTGAATTTTCCTTATATTTCTCCAGAGATTTTTATAGAAGAAAAAGAATATTTGAACAAAAAACCGTTTGGCGCAAATGTCGTAATTTAAATAAAAATCCCCTTTTCCTTAAACTGACTCTACACTCCCTAGGTCTAGCAATTGGCTAAAAATCGAATGTGTTAGTGGACATCTCTCTCCCTCTTATTTATTGCTTGCAGAGAGAGTGAGAAAGCTAACCAGGTAGATTCAATTTTTTTTTTGTTAAGGTACTCTTTCTTTTCAGTACAAATATTTTCAAATGCATATAGATACCTATAGACATATGCAGTTGGAAGCAAACTGTTTTGTCTGGGCCAAGGTGTCCCGACAAAGTGGATCTTTTATTTTACATATAGCTAAGTATATAATTTCAAATATAACCCTGTCATCTTGGCTAATGCCCAGGCAGAACGTCGGTTATTTTCTTGTATGTTACCTACATCGTCACTGAAGTCATTTTTTTTCTGCACTACGTCAAAGAGCAAAAGTACTTGCTTGTAATGTTTCTAATTTACATACACATTGTACACTTCTAATTACAGCTAAAAACGATACTGAAAAGCGATCGATACTACGACATAATAAGGAAAGTTTTCTTATATGAATCAATTCAATTTACGATAATGCAAAAACCCATTTCGTGATTTTGTATTTTACCAAAATTTGAAATGTAATCTGTAACTGGTTGAACACGCAACTCCACTATTTCCTATCCTAAACTGATCTTCGCATTTCCTTAAAATTAGAACATCCCACAGTAATTTATTCTAAGTCTACCTCTCCTTCTCTTAGCTCCTGTTTCTGCTTCTAATATATTTATAACTAGCTGTTCATGACTGAAAAGATGTCCCACCAACCTATCTCCCCTATTTTTTTATCGATTTTTATAATCAGACCCTTTCTTTAAGGAATTTTATCTTCTACGTAATGTTATTATTTGCGTGTACCAATTGTTTTTTGCATACGGTCAAAACTTTTTTTTACGTTTTTTGAAAATTACCTCAAGCAATATAAAGTCTTTATTGAACTATTTATTAAATCATCATATGTCACTTCTTTGCACGAGTCTATTTTAGAATCACGTTTGACCTAAATTCACGTATCAAATGCAGGTCATACGGTGTATGTGGGTGTTTATTTATTTTGTGAAAAGAACGCATCAAATGTGTCAAACGTCTAATGCTAATAATTGCGAAAATTCGAAGGATATTATGTTTGTTATTATTGTGATTTATTAATAATCTTCGTAAGGCATTTACATTTTTATTTAGACAGTGCAATGTGGGCTACACATTGCTAGTGTGGGTGAATCTACAATAGTTTGTGTTGTAAATACGCAGTTGTAACATAATTTTATATACCCATGTCAATAAAACACAATTAATTTTAAATTCAGATTAGTAGAATCATATAATGTAACGCATTCCCATTTTTTATTCTTTGCTGTTATGTAATCGATGTAACACGTACTAGTTCTAATTAGGTCAATAGGTAAATTATATTCGTAAAATATAGGACACATTTTTCTTTCTTATTATAATTTATGTATCATTAATTCATCGCTATGTAAGAGGTGCAACTGCAGTAGTTATGAGTTATTATTTAAATACACACATTTCAAAAGAGTGATCACAAAATTTGATCATAAAGCAATTCAATATTACTATAACATTATCATCATATGGTCTTCAGTTCTAAGACACGCACTTCCACTCTTTCCTATCCTTAGCTAATCTTCGCATTTCCCTAAAACTGGAATATTAGAGGCAGAAACAGCAGTTAACAGGAGTAGAGATAGACCTAAATTAAATTACTGCTCGCAAATAGTTAAGAATGTGATTACGATAGCAATTAACGTTAAAATCCAAAATAATATAATTCCTTTTACACCGTACTATGGGCTGATAAACAATAAATAAATTAATTAAAATAAGTACGTAATATAACGCAATATCAATTTAAAATCTCTCGAAATACTCTCATTCTTAATGAGATCCCTGAACCTATTATTAAATAACTGTTGTTTTGCAATTTTTAATTTGAATTTAAAAATTTTACTCAATGCGTAAATATCTGCTTTTGATAAAGGTGCCGATTGTTTTATACATAATCAAATTTTTATTTTTGATGTTTTTCTTAAAACGTTTTCAAACAATTCCATTTCGGAAATAATAAAAATGTAATGTTAGCAAAACGTTATTCATGTTGTGCAGTATTTTAAAGTGCGTATCAACCATCGGATTATACGTTAAGCTGTTTGGTGTTACAAAAGAAGAAGAGTTTATATGAAGTGGGTTATGCTAATGAATAGATTTGCTCTTTTGAATGCCCACGTATGATCACATGTTTGTTTGAGTACAATTTGTTCCTATTATAAAAGGAAATACGATAATTGTTATTGAAAATATTAAATCATTCTTGGTCTTCCGTATTAAGGTTCCAAGCTGAATAAAAAAATGGGTGGGTGGTGTACATAATGTTAAATTTTTAAAAGTAGCTACATTATTTGAAATGCATAAAAATCTAAGTAGAATCTCAAACGCGTGAGTGTTGTTTCTTTTTTTGTAAGTACTTGTTCCTTAGTAGCAAACATCGCAAAACGTGCGAGTCTGCTACAAAAGGAGACTCTTATTTTGAAAATAGTCTAGTCCTGGAAGATACTCTTTATTGTATACGCATACAAAAAATTGAGTTTGTACTGAAGGAGCTAGCAAATCCTCAAGAAAATTAGATTAGACACTCACAAGCTTGGGATTCTGCACACATTTTTATGCATTTCAAATGGTGTAACTTCTTTAAAAATGTGATGATTATATAAGGGAAGAGAAGGCAAATGCTACGTTNCTAAACTGACCGCAATATTTTCTACCATCAGTCCATTCTACATTGCCTTTCCCATGCATTTTGGCATCGGACCACCGCCCCGAATATTTAGCATTTTTGAAAAACCCCTGTTTCGTAAAAGTAAAATCCGCATTTCTAACATTAGGAACGTTAATACTGTTTACTTTCTTTAAAGCAACTTTTATAGCATTTTGCAAACTTTGTAACCATTTCGACTTCTCTTCCAGTTCATAAGCAACTAAAACGAAGTGATCTTCGGGAGTTTTTAAGATTATTTTGTGCTCCATTTCGTTTTCATCCTGAACTGCTTCCACCCACAGAATTTTCAAGTCAAAGGAAAGTACAATAGAGCCATTAATGTAAACAAAAATATCCGATAAAAGGACAAACCAATGTGAAGAAAATCTGCTACCACCTTGGAGCGATATTGGATTCTTATGAGATTCGATAATTAGCTTTCTGTGGGGTTTTTTTAAATAATCCACCAGTTTTCCACTTTGGTTCCAAAATTGGTTCGTCATTTCAGCTTTATTTTCGTTATCCCTTTCCTCTTCGTAAATGGAAGTTAGTTTATTAATTATTTTCATTTCCATTTGACTCTTTTCCGTCGAAAGTAATTTGTGT